GCCTTTGTCGAAATAAACAAGTTTCACAAATGTTCGGCCTACAAAACTCAGAATAACAGCTATCAGAAATCGTGCACGTTCTGCAAGAAGTCGGCTGTGACCTGTAGATAAGGTTTCCGCCTATAAAGCTCCCCAGCCAGCAGCTAGGCGACAAGCACCGCCCATCAGGCTAGCACTGGATCTACTAAGGCACGGAATCGACCATACATCTCCTTGAAAAATCAAAGTGTTTTCACACATAAATATGAGGGCTGCGAGACAGAAGGTAGTTGTAAAAATATTTAACTTAAACTTTAATGAATGTTATACTGATTTGGAAACAAAGGCTGTCCTTACAGTCAGGTGATGAGAATTAACCTCGTATAAATGAGTTGGGTATGCCATAAATACCAAACAACATTTTAATAACAAAGAACCTACCTGCCTAACTCTAAATGGCTTGTATCTAATAATGGAAATCTTTAAACCTGTTCGCTAATTAATGCAATAAACTGACTGGCATTCTGGTTTCTGGAGAAAAATACCTCAACGTCGGGGTGCTGACTGACTTATGGGTTGTCAGCTTGAACGGCTTCTCCTAGAACTCTGCCCAGTACCGAGCTCTAGGCACGAAAATACGATGAGAGAACGAAAAAATTAGCAAACGACAGGATGTAGAACTCAGGATTGAGTTCAAACAGCACTGTAGACTCCAAATTACCCATTATTATTTCACACAAAATACAATTCAAAATTTCCCCTATTAGATATCCATTTTTCTGAAAATATACGAGTATTTCTTATTAAATGCAAAAGTTATATTTTTAAGAATTAATTTGATAGCTAGTAAAATTTCTTGCTTTGGTATATTGGTCTACGCATGATTAGTTTCGAATGTTATTAATTCATCTAAAGCCCTCACTATCAAAGCACTAAGTATCGAAGGGTTCAGTTTAACTATATCCAATGAAATCAATATATCATCAGAGCCAAATTTTAATTTTTTAACTTGTTAACTATCTCAACATTGTTCTTAGCATTCAATTGATAATCAGTTGTAAAAAGCTTCTAAGTAAAAAATTTAAAAAATATGAAAATTTGTAGTCCGAAGAGGATACACTGGAGACGACAAGTCTGAAAAGAACACCCTGTTTATAGATTTTCCCGAAACTATTTGCTTCAAACGTATCTAGTACAGAAGAATATATTCCATGAAAAATGGAACTGTCAATGTATTTATTTTTTAGCCACTTCTTCAAGATTTCTTAGATTTTAAACAAGTATTGTCTCGCAGGATCTGTAAGTAAACAAGTAAAATCCACATTGGAAGTAAAGTTCTCCTCCACTTTACGCGCGTACATGGGCCTGCAACCGCTCCATCGTAGGAACAAATTCGATTTTGGGATTTTTTTGAAAATTGTTTATTTTGTGAATTATTTAAACGTGAAACTACTTTAAAATTTCTACTTTATGTTTCATTTTCCCGTCTGTCTATAATAAATGGAACACATGTATCAACGAATAGGTTAAGTTTTACTTTAAGTATTAGGTTTTGATAGTAAGCTAGCTTCTAGCAAGCTACATAGTTATATTCTTTAGCTAGCTTAGCTAAATAGTAGATAGATTAATTTCCCGTCTGTCTATCCCTATAATATATGGAAACTTTTTATCGATAAATAATTAAAACAGTCAATAGGTCATTATTATAAAAAAATGTAACCTACTTCTTAAGTCTATTGGAAATAAGTATGTAGTCAAATTATTGTGTCGGTTGGCAATAGACACAATTTGTTTACATGGCGCACGAAGTAACCAGAAATACCTTTGACCTCTACCTCTGTTGTCCCTTCCGAGAGAGAGTTCTACGTCCACATGAGTGAACGCAAGAGTCCGCATGAGGTTTTCAATCAGAAGGACTGGCGCATTTAATTTGATTGCTGGTGAACTTGTCTATTTTGCTCTCTGCTGCCATGTGTGTAGGTAGTCACGAGACCACTTCTTCCACAACTTGAGCATCCACATTGGCGGATCCAGGGGGAGGCCATGGGAGTCATGGTCCCGTTCAAAATTCTTTGAGTTTCGTTTCCTTTCCTTTATTTGGCGTAATTGATTGAAATATTTATGTGTGCTCGAAATATGTTCGGCCCGTGCAAACCGCAGACGTCGCCAGAACATATCTCTGATTGTCTGCGGTTGAATGCCCGGCGTCAGGCCCGATGCGCGACATGACGGTAAACGCGTTATCTCGTCGCCCGGTTCTGTCATAAAATCATAAAGTGCGCAATTAGTAAGACTTCTTGTATGAGAAGATTCTCAAGGTACCCTAACTTTTCGGGGGTATGTAATTAACTACTCTGACCAGTATCCAGTTACCTGCGTGAATGTGGTCTCGCGTGAGTCGCTAAGTCAACGCGTGCGCGTGTAACTTCATCACAGCACAGAGCAACAGTGCTTCGTTCGTGATCGTTGGTACCAGAACTCTCACCGGAAAGTAAGTACGGAAAAATAGTTATTGTGAATTTCGTGGCGACCTGAAGGCAGCACAACTGCCATCGCCGGCTGAGAGTGGCTTTCTCACCGCGCTCTACCAGCCTCCTAGGATGTTACGCACCGGCGTCGCTTCCCCGCCCATGAGTGTGCTATAGCGAAGTGCAGCATCGAGTCGCCCTTACACATTGCCAAGTGTTTACCATTTAAAGTTGAAACTAAGTGTAATAAATTGTCTGTTGCTATCTAAGACATATCTGTAACGTACAAAGGAGCTTGTACACGTCTCCTACCTGGACACCACCAAACAACACGAGCTATTTGATAGGGTGCGTCCCTAGCCCGAATTCAGGCTACTGTAGCATCTCCTACGTACGGGATTAACAACGGCATTCACGTTCGACTTATATACAAATACTTTTATTTCTCAATTTACGCAGGCAATTTATAATTTCTGACCCAAAAACATTCAGAATTTCCGAAAATTGCGAAAGTTAGAAATAACGCACAAAACTATGAGCTTTTGTAACCCCACTAGTTCTATTCTACAATTAAGGGACAGAAAACATTATAAAATATGAAAAAATGTCTTTTAGATACCGATAGGTAGCAGCTGGGAATAGTGTGACGAAAACCAGAAACAGATCAAACAAAGAAGATGCTATTCTAAAGACTGCAACCACTAGTTTGTTTAGTATCGTACACGCCGACGGCACAGCCATCTTGAGTACTGTAGACGACCCAAGTACTGTAGATGACTCTATATGGCCGTGGTTATATTTGGTTTGTATTGTGCTTCAAAGAATCGTCTTCTGTATTATTTCAGCAGTACACATACCTTTTGAGACTCTCGCACGCAACCAATCTTTATAAATGAAGTCTCTAAAGAAATAGACTTTCTCTGAGACGTGACTAATTGCACTACCTGCACCAGTATTTTCGTTATCAACAGTGATTCGGAGAAATTTTCAAGTCAGCATGTTCAGTCACGTAGCTTTCTCAGGAGTAAAAAGCTTTTTTAACACTTTTGTGTCTATCACGAGTAGCGTAAATCTGATTGTCAAAGAATACTGAATAATTATTTCAAATATTTTAAGGGAGTGTTGTGAATTGTTCCAAGAAATCCCTCAATAATACTGAATAAATGTTTAGTGAAAAATTCTTTTCCACATCAACTGCATGGTTTTTTATTTCTATTTGATAATGTGTTAGTACAATGGAAGTTACCTTTATACATGTTTAGACAAATAAATACGTTTCGTTAACAACTTTCCCTTTTAGAACGGAAATAGAAGAATAGGGAACAGTATGGGGTTTAACATGTGAGAGTTCTCGCACGTGGAGGTAATAGGAGAAAGCTTGTGCTATGGCACAAAATAACGAACAAACTTTTTAAATTAACTAAAGAAAAATAGCTTGAAATAAATGAATAACAAAATGAAAACGCGCAAGCGTTCACTACTATGAGAATTAATTTTAAAAAGAAACCAAATTTTAAATTATAGAAAGAATAGTACAAGTCATTCGACAACTTCAACGATCAAAAACCCGGCCGCACGATATAAATGTTGGCGGTATATGGAAGTCTGTTTATCAAGGCCCAGCTGCAAACTCATATTGTAAATAATACACCGTTTGATATTAAACTTAAGGCGTCAGTTCGCAATGATATTCAATAAGTAAACATCGTTTAAGCAACATTCCTGTGTACCGACGTGAAGTCGAAGCGTACAGATGTGTTTCCAATGATAAGAAATGGTATTTATTACTCAAAGTTGATAATATTAGTTTTATTATTTTTTGCTCGTAATTGTTTTTCTTGAGGTGTAGAACTCAGAAAATAAACCAACATTTTTTTGTATACGAATATTATTTTCAATTTTTGGACACCAGCAAGCTGGCGCCTTGCCTCTCCAAAACCCGCTCTATTCCTGATAACAAATCCAGGAAAGTTAAATAATATTGCAAAGAGTAGGGTCGAACGTGCCGTGTATTTCGCCGATCTGTATTTTTGCATGGAAACTTTCTCATGCGCTCAATACATATCTAATACTTTTGTGACAATCAGGAAAAGCTAACAGTCAAGGAACTTCAAATGTTTGACGCACTTGAATGCCGAAGCAGAACCCTAACAAACGGCCCACGACCTGCGCGCAATCTTTCTTACCTCTTCCTTCTCCTATCCTCTCCCTTTACACCCATCTACACTTACATGCACCACACTACCTACACACACATGCTAAGGGACCTGTCAGGAGCTCAGACTTGTTCCGGCTGGGGCGGTGCCCTGCTGGGAGATACCTGGTTGAGGATCATCTCGCAAGCCGACTGATAGATCGGCGTTGGATCTCGTCAACCAGCAGTGGAATATCTCCACCACCACCACCTCCACATAAAAGATGCACTACACTTACAGGATTAATTCCTTAACCCATTGACCCGCCCAGAATCAGTAAAAAATCATCACTCAAGGGGAAACGAATTGACACTGCACAAACGGCGATTCGCTGTGTAAAGCCCAATGTTGTCGCTGTGCGCAGGCAAATGTCGTCGGCCGCGGCGGAGCAGTCCACCTCAGGGGCGCCGGCGCCGCTGGCATCGATGGCGTCGCTGGCGTCGGCCAGCGAGCGCCTGCGCCCGGCGGCGGTGGAGGTGCGCGGCGCCTACAAGAACTACGGCGACACCGTCGTGCTGGCGGGCATCGACATGACCGTCCCCCGCGGCACCATGTGAGTAGCCCCCTCTGCTGCAATGCAAAGCTGCAATTGCGTCAGGTTGTATTTGGCGTTTATTTTATAGACGGAAACCTTCAGTTCTTTTTTATTGCATAAATACATTATATATCACTTATTGTTTTCATTTTAATTGCAGCCCGAAGATAGAAATAATGATTTCCGATACCTCTCTATTTTAAATGTCAATTAGTATTACACATTGTAATAAATTGTGTATATATTTAATTGTTTTCAATTTGATCCATATCTGTAATCCAAAAATACTGAATATTTCTGTGAACAAAATAAAGGCCAAATGTAATTTTACGAAATAGTTACATCTACAGACAAAAAGAAAAATAAAGTTAAAGCTGAAATTCTCATACGATCGCAATGCTGTGACACATTCAGTTTTCTCAACGAAAGAACGTTCCTAAATCAAGCAACCTACTTAATGTCAGAGTCCGGATCCAAAAATGTGTGACTCATCTGTATAATGTCAGTGAACTGTGTGAAAAATGTCAATTTTCAGCAAACGTTTATTTTTTCTCTAAAATTTATCAAAAAATACATTACCTACGAGCAGAACAATCTCCTCGACAAGACACCAAAGAACGATGTGAATTTTGTACCCTTTATCAGCCTCCATCGGCACATTCCCCGATATCTATGATTCTCCCGGATATGGAAAACTCGTCCACGAGTGCATCAAAAATATTTAAGATGAAGATTGTTTAGTTTCATATACTGTGAAATAAAAACCAGCAGGCTCACAAGCAACCCATCACACACGCGTAACACGACCCGTGATCACCAAGCATTTCTCCAAGTCAGTGCGTTCTACGTTCTTAAATATGCACATCAGTGGTCGTAAGCCTAAAACAATATGAGTTTTGTTTTTATTTCCGAAATCAATAAAATGGAACTTCGCTCTGTACATTTTCTGGGAACTTAGCTCTTCTGGCCACTCCATAACACGGGTTGTCAGAAACATTCGACATTAGGCTCCAGTTGAAAGCTATTTTCACTTTAAAAACAACATTCCAAAATGGGTATTATGCTGCTTTAAACACGGGGTTTAACTTGAGAGCTGTCGAGTATGAGGGGAATGTATTAATTTTGAGTGATTTACTTTTTACTGACTAAACGTCTTGGACATCCCTGTGTGAGGCAGACGACTAAGTGTAAGAATAAACTAGGCGTGAGAATGAAGAAGTAAATCTCGCTTCGGCCTTGGTTGCAGATGCAAATTATCAGAAGAAACTAATTGAGTAAACGAATTCCTCTGACAGGTCTGTAAACGGTAACTCTTCGAGGATGATCTCTCTTTTTTAGAGTTAACAGCGAATTGTTAAAGTTTATCATGAAGGAGCCAGAGTAAAGCTAATATTAAGAAACAATATCTGCTCTGAGTCATTTCTTAAAATTGTACGCATCAGAGAACACGAGTTTTAAATGTTCACAACATTCAAATCGAGCGCTTCTGGCGTGTAATAAATACAGGTTGCTAATTAAGGAGTATGAACTGAAGCCAGTGGTGAACATAAAGCCTTCAAACGAGTTATTCAAATATCGCACCGTCGTCGTAGAGAATCATCTTTTAGTAGAATCAGATTTTAGTTGACAGATTATTTCTAGTGTTTTAAGCGTTAGCGTGTGTGCTGATGTGTGTGTGTGCGCTCGCAGCTACGGGCTGCTGGGCGCGAGCGGCTGCGGGAAGACGACGCTGCTGAGCTGCATCGCCGGGCGCCGCCACCTGGACGCGGGCAGCGCGCGCGTCTTCGGCGAGGAGCCCGCGCCGGGCCCGCGCCTCGGCTTCATGCCGCAGGTGAGCCCCCCACCCCCGCCTCACTCCGCCCCGCCTCACTCC